TGATAGATAGATAGATAGATAGATAGATAGATAGATAGATAGATAGATAGATAGACAGACAGACACAGGGCCTAAAACTAACTTTTTGCCACACCTGCCAATGGCCGGTGACATGATAAAATTTACAGGCAGTTATTACTACTACAATAACTAAACATATTTACAATGTTTTTAATTTGTCCTGCTGGTGCATTTTCCCTATTAATTATAGCCATTCAACATTACAGTATAATTGAAAGCCATTATTTTTAACATTTAATAGGCTCTGAAATATATAACAACTTTTAATTTAAGTGATTTTAAAACAATCTTCACATAAACTATACATATTAATCTTTATTCAAGCTAAAAAAGTTAATCAGCGACTAGAACAGTCCAAGGATTTCTCTTTTTCTTTTGTTCTTTGATTTACATCAATGACAGGCTTCAGCAGGTTTCTCTTTAAAATCAGCGCTGTCTCTTTAAAACCTGATGCACATGACGCGGATACAGTCTATGGATCTGACACATATCCGATTTTCTCCCAACTCTTTACGGTTATTTAAGACTTTATAACTCATTTAAGGCTACGTTTACAAGGTAACTCGCCAAAACCGCGTATTTTGATATAATTGTGTGTGTGTTTTCGTCCGTTGAAGCACTACTGGTGAGCTGTCTGAAGCGGCTCAGCGTATGTGTACAGCCGAACGCGCAGCCTTTCAAACTATAATTCACTGCACCGTTTCTGCGGCGTAACCCCAGGCATGTGTCGCCGCATTCTCGGGTTATGAAGAATAAAGAAGGGAAAAGTTAATCTTCCGAAATGAAGCAGCAAAATCTTCTCAGGCAAAAGTTATTAGAACTGTGTCTAGGGACAAGCTGGCCATCACTCTGCTCTGACCTTATCAGCCCGTTTGTATCCTATTATTTGATTCGCTCTTGTCGCTTATGACAGAACAGCTAATCACGATGATCTTGTCTTCAGACAAGATTATTTTATTCACTTATGTCAGAAAAAGCGAATCTCTTTAAAAACTGTCTGTTGTTTTCACTTCATTGCATCGGTTCGGTATGTGCTATGTTTAGGCAAAAACTATACGGTCAAATAAAAATAAAGAAATAAGAATAATCTATCTAACTACAAGCAACAGCACAAATAAATACAATAGAGTAAAGATACAAATAAAATAAACAGTGACTTTCAGGGTTTTTTTAGGTAGGTCTAACATTAGTTTTTAGGTACAGAAATTGAATAAAGTAATGAATTGTAAAACAGCATTGCATATTTCACTGTATAAATTAAAGATTAATCTTTATTAAAGTTACAAAAGCTATTCAATCAAGAGCAGTGAGTGATTTCTGTTGTTGTTGCTGTTTGATTAATAGTGCTGTCACTTTAAGAGAATGCACTGATACACTACGTTCAGCCGGCTATGTCTGCTATAGGATACTTACCAAGACAGGCATTTTGACCATTTTTGTGTGAATTTGTCCATTTAAACACAATACTTCAGAGACAGCTTAATATTTGAGCGTGTTCTGAGGCGTGGGTTTGCGCACTTCGGATGAGTGCACGCACAAATCTTCTCTCTGCGCGTGCGAGCTCGCATCCTCTGGCTCTTAAATGTTTAAACGGGCAAAGCTTAAATGAGTTTAGTTTAAACACAGATATCAACGTGTGCTGTTCAGGTCTCACATGCGTTGTCAGATTTAAGTTGAACCGCGGTCCTAGCACGTGCCGAACCGTGTGTGGAGAACCGTACGGTTCGATTTTTTTCCGCGAATATATATCATAACATTGACTCAGATAAAGCAACAACATGTAAAAGCGAGCATGGCTTGCAGCACTTAAGTTAAAATACCGTGTGTGAAATAATAAAATAATGTGTTAAAATAAAGTGTGCACTTATCATATTGTGGACAAAATCCCTCAAACTTCGCCCTGATCGGGAGCTGTATATATGTGCCTTCATCTGTTTTCAATGCAGCTAACCTCGCATCGCTTCATCTACCCACTCACTAAACCATGACAGGTGAGTTACTGCAAAAAAGACGGTCAATGCGACACTGTAAAGTGATGAATCTATGGTGCCATGTGCTTTTTAAAACCATTTTCATAGGTTTAATGTTATGTTATCGCCTCGGAAAATACGTCAATTTGACTAGAAACACCAGAGACTGCAAATGTAAAGCATCGTTCCAGCGAGAATTCCGCGTTCAGAAAAAAGGTTGATAGTTCAGTAGTTACCAATATTTTGAAAGTGATGTGTGAATGGCACTTTACCAGTAAAAAGACGGAACGTCATTACCTGTGTGAACAGCACATTTTACCGCCGGCGGTACACCTTGGGTTTAAAGGGTTAATGAAACTTGCCCCCATTCAAATATTGATAAAAGAATGCATGAAGCTAGAATATAACAGGGCTTTTTTTTCTTTGTTTGTTTGTTTAAAGGCAGAGTCTCTGTTCTTTCTTTTGACATATTGCATGTTCAGATATTCATAAAACAAAATGTTCTGGGGGCCATGAAAGTTTTGTGAAAATTATCAAAAATGCTGGCAGTGGCTGGCAACTTTTTTTAAAACAGTAATGCGGCTCGGCTGACCACTTGTGATCTGGAAAATGTTTTGTAATACCAGGTATGAACAGGCCTTAAGTGTTTTTTGTGTGCGTGTGTGTGTTGCTATGTGGTTGCTAGGGTGTTTTGTCTGCTATACATTAGTACTGTACTTTCACAAGGCATTTGAAAATTACACAGACGTTTGAATATCATTGCTGAAACACTCACATCTGGAACGATGACAGTGAGCTTGGGATTCAGTGTGTGATACACCTTCCCAATGGCACCTTTGTAACACCAAAACGGATTGTACTCCAGTGTGTACTTAGTTTCTGAATCTCGTGCTGTGGTGAAAATCTTGTACGAGGATGTGGCATTGCTGTAGGTCTCTGGGACACAGTGAGGTGGCTGCCTGCAGAGGATTATCAAACCAAGGCATGAATTACTCATTCTAGATGAAGGAAACTCCAATTAGGACCCTTAAAACTAGCCTCAGTTATGTAACACAAATTTGCACTATGCTGCAAGTCAACTATGTGCCCTCTGTGTATGTTCTTTTTGTTTTGCTTTGGCTTTCTGGGTCAGTTAAAGGAATAGTTCACCCAAAAATGAAAATTTGTTGTCATTTACTCACCCTCAGGCCATCCAAGATGTAGGTGACTTTTTCTTCAGTAGAAGAGTAAAGAAGATTTTTAGCTGAACCATGGTGATTCGTAAAATGCAAGTCAGTAGCTACCGGCACTTAAGAGTCAAAAAAGCATATCAGGCAAGACAAAATTAATACCAGTGACTCCTGACAATATATTGAGGTGTGATGAAGCGAAACGATTGGTCTGTACAAGAAAATGAACATTTACAACATTATTACTTGTAATTCATAGCCTCAGGCAAACAGGGAATCTTTTCAGTGAGCAGGTTCTTTCAGACAGTTCGCTTCAATGAACTGGTTCAAATAACCGATTCATCACTTTGTTTACGTAATCATGCAATGATGTCACATATATGCAATTACATTATTAAAACACCCAATAATGATGTGAAATGTGGATGTTTTACATGTCTAAAGCATATAAAGTGAATAAACTAGTCTTAATCAACTCACCCTTTTTACATTAACTATGAGAAACCATAAAACTTTAATTTCTCCTCTTCATTTAAAGGGTTAGTTCACCCCAAAATGAAAATACTGTCATTAATTACTCACCCTCATGTCGTTCAAAACCCGTAAGACCTCCGTTCATCTTCGGAACACAAATTAAGATATTTTTGATGGAATCTGAGATCTCTCTGACCCTCCATAGACAGCAACGCAACTGAAATGTTCCCAGACAGAACTGTAGCAAGGACATCGGTAAAACAGTCCATGTGACATCAGTGGTTCAACTTCAATTTTGCGAAGCTACGAGAATACTTTTTGTGTGCAAAGAAAACAAAAATAATTTAACAATTCTTCTCCCCCGAGTTAGATCTTCTGCCATTTTGGAGAGTACCCAAGAATGTAATCGGCGTTGTTTACGTTAGGGGGGAAAGCGCAAGCATGAACGTAATCTGCGTAATCAGCGTTGTTTACACTTAGGGTAAAGCGTGCGTATGCGTTGTGATACTCTCCAAAATGGCGGAAGACGGTAACTCGGGGGAGAAGAATTGTTGAATAAAGTAGTCATTTTTGTTTTCTTTGCGCATAAAAAGTATGCTCATAGCTTCGCAAAATTGAAGTTGAACCACTGATGTCACATGGACTGTTTTACTGATGTCCTTGCTACGTTTCTGAGCCTTGAGTAATTAATGTTCCGACGATGAACGGAGGTCTTACGGGTTTGGAACGACATGAGGGAGAGTAATTAATGACAGAATTTTCATTTTGGGGTGAACTAACCCTTTAAGTGTTAATTTCATGCATGCTTTTATCATCAACTCAGTTTTCCAGTTCAAGTGAACCTTTTCCTCAGTTCAGTGTACTGTTGGGAGTAACTGGAACCCTGAATGAGCTGGCAAAAACCAGCATCATATATGCTGGTTTATTGGATCATTTCGAGTCAGAGTGACTGTCAGTCATGTCCGAAAGTGAGTTTTGATTGAGTAACTTGTAGATCTGTGCTGCTCGGGCTGCAAATTGTTTCAGATGGTTCAGTCCAATTTGGTGAACTGGTTCATCCAGTTCACTTTAAAGAACCGGTTCAGAACAATGATTCGTTTGCAAACTGGACATCACTCCAGACTGTTTGCCTGAGGCTATGGATTACAGGTAAAAATGTTGTAAATAATCTTCAGTTTTCTTGCACAGATCAATCGTTTTGCTTCATCAGACCTCAATATATCGGCAGGAGCCACAGGTATTAATTTCGTCTCGCCTGTGTATGCTTTTTCGACTCTCAAGTGCCAGAAGCCGTTGACTTGAATTTTATAAATCACCAAGGACCATGGTTTAAATAAAAAATTTTCTTTGCTGTTCTACTAAAGAAAAAAAAAACTACATCTGGGATGGCCTGAGAGTGAGTAAAATAACCGCAAATTTTCATTTTTGGGTGATTTATCCCTTTAAACTCATTTTGGATGTCTTAGCTCAGCGGTGGCGAACTCCGGTCCTGGAGAGCCGCAGCCCTGCAGAGTACAGCTCCAACCCTAATTAAAACTCACCTGCCTGTAGCTTTCTAGTAACCCTTCAGACCTTGATTAGCTTGTTCAGGTGTGTTTGATTAGGGTTGAAGCAAAACTCTGCAGGGCTGCAGCTCTCCAGGACTGACGTTCGCCACCCCTGTCTTAGTTGCTCAGCACACACATAAACAAATTTACAGAGAAAATACACAGATGAGAACCTATGGCAAAAAGCCCATATATTTACAAAAAGCCCATCATACCAGGCATATTAGATGACTAAAACATGCATATCCACTATATATAAAATCTTATTTTTTAAATTTATCCACATCTACTTATCTGGCTCAACTTAGTGAAAGAGAGCTTTCCTTCTGAATGCTAGAACAAATATTACTAATATTTACTGATATTTCTAAAATCTTCCAGCATCCCTGCAACCCTACAGAAGACAAGTGGATAGACATCCTGATATAGAAGTAAAAAGTATACACAAAACAAATTGAGGTGATTTTGGGACATATGTTTGTATGGACACTTACACTGTGACTGGGAAGACATTACTTGCTGCTGTGATGGTCAGACAGGTGCTGAAGACCATCTGCTCACAACGACCATGCAGAACGCAGTCATCTGAGTTCCAGGCTACCGGCAGAGTGAAAGTGATGTTCATCTCTTCATGGGCCTCTCTGCCTTTAATGACACAAACACACCCACACAGTGTCAGCATGTTCTGCAAAACAAAGGAAGCTTAGATGTGCCTGCAAGTGGTATCTATAAGGTATTCAGCTCGGCCTCTCTCCCATTGTTATCCCTTTGTGCACAATGGACCATTGTTTTAACTGGACTACGTTCAGCCACAACACCAGGAGAGAGGAGGAAAAAAAACTTTCCAATCTGATCTGTTAAACTAAAATAGACAAGGTCAACCAGGCTGAATTCTGCTTAAAATTCCTAAACATGCTCACTGTAAATTTCACTACAGCAGTCTACTGTAGGGCTTTCTCGTTTGAGAAGTAATATAATGTAATCATAATATGTTGTACATTACTATTAAAATATGAGGTTAGTAAGATCAGGGAAATTAATGTGATGACATTTGTTACAAAAGATTTTCAAGTTATAAACATTTCCATTTCAAATAAATGCTGTTCTTTCAAACTTTGTTCATCAAATAAATGCAGCCTTGTTGAGCATAACGTTGGCCCTGAACTTCTGAATGGTAGTGTATGTGAAATAGCACACCAAATATGCCTGGATGTTATATTATTTTGAGTTTCAATGTTTGCATCCATAAATTCCTTTTCAGCTAATACTGCCCACAATTCAACGTGTAACAATAAAGACGTCTGGGTTTGGTTCTGGGTTTGGGTTTTTCTCTAGAGGGAGAGGGGAGATTGAGAATGTATGCCACAAAGAAGGTGCCATGGCTGTTTTACATATAAATATGAATCAGAAAGTTAAGTTCATGTTCTGTGGGTCAAGACACAATTTCATGATAGTGCATCAGACACAGCATAAGGAAGAGATGTGCCAGTATGATAACTTTCTAACTGATTTGCATCTTGAAAATGCATTTTCTTTAAAGCGTACATACACGTTAGCCAGACCAGTTTTATTTTTAGCATGATTTCAACTGAATAAGCTAAATGTATGATATCATTATTGTCCGATTTCATCTATGATTTGAGGATGTTATTTAAACATAAGTGTGTTTTAATGGTCTTCCCCACTGAAGGATATACAGTGGTGTGAAAAAGTGTTGGCCCCCTTCCTGATTTCTCATTTTTTTGCATGTTTGTCACACTTTAATGTTTCAGAACTGTACGCATTCAAACATAGGTAGTCTCCAATCAAGGAACTGCAAACTTCTTAGTGCACAGTACAAATATGCAAGTTGGGAAACAGTCTATGTGGAAAAACAGCCAAAAAAAAAAAAGCTGATAAAATCAATGACCGCATGGAGGTATGTTATCATATGGCACACGTCCAAGTTAAATTTCCACCAAAAACCCACACACAGGAAAAAAAAATAGAGACATACCAGCAAGGCCAACTTGCTGCCCAAGCACACTGGCATAAAGGTGGGTAATATTGCGTGAGTAGCCCCCAAATGGCCTCAGCGGATCCAGTGTCAATGTGATGGGCACAGAGATGTTGATCGGACCTGGGTCCTCCAGCAGGGGTGGTGACTGGGTGCTGGATCGCGGTTGACTGCTGGTCACTGTGCTCTCTGGAGAGATTGACTCATTCAAGCTGTGCTTGAGGGTCTCGTTTTCTGAGATGCAAAAGTCAAGCTCGTTGAATCGGAGAAGGAAGGTGTTCCAATCCTAGAGGGAAACAAAAAAAAAATGACAAAAGTGATCAATTCCAATGTGAAGTTTATCTCCAGCATTTCCTGATCAATATTAATGCCCAGGCGAACATGCATTCTCATACCTGTATGTCTACTACAGTGTTGTCATTATTAACTGAAACTATTTAAAAACACAAAGCTGAAATAAATTACAACATAATATTAGATTGAAAAAATAAAAAATTAATTAAATTAAGTGTGTTCTTTAAACAATCTTGTTTCAATTGTCTTTCCCCACTAAATGATATAGCTGTACACATTCAAATGTATATAGTTTGCCATCAAGGAACTGCAAACTTCTTATAGTAGAAATAATTTTCGGTAACTGAAATAAAATAAAATATAATTAGATCAAAAACTAAAAAAAAAGGAAAAAAAAAGAAATGTTGCTTGATGACTAACTAAAATAAATTAAAAATAAAATTACTAAAACTAAAATCAAATGAAAATAAAGCTATATATAGAATTATAAAAATTAAATTACAGAAATAGAAAAATTACATTACTAAAACTTAAAACTACGATTAAAATTAAAACTGAAAGTATAAAAAGTTCATTCAAAATATCAATAAATACAACAATAGTATAAAAATAATACTAAAATAACACTTGTCTACTAATTATTAACTATTACATTCTCAAGTATTTTCAAAGGTTCACAGCTCACGCATTTGAGCTAAACCAAGTTATTTCCTACCTCAGTCATTTCAGGTGATTTAATCTCCTTGATCTTAAAGAAGTATCCTATAGTGAGGAAAGCGATAGCCACAGCACTGACGCTGACCATAAAAATGACCAGCGGTGGACGGTTACTTATGTAGGTCTTTAGATTCTCCAGTGGATTCAACAACACCACCTGCAATAAGAGGAAAAAGAAGTCTCTCAAGCTTAGGGAAACTTTCACCTACATCAACACTGGCTTTGAGTTTACTAGAAGTAAATTCCAATTAACTTCTGTCATCTTCTGAATAAGAACCGGTTTGTGTTCTTAATCCTACCTGTAAGGCACAAAGGTTTGCTAAGCACTAACATATGGCTCCAAGTCAATATTTGGGTCTTATTAATTTGTTTGTTCTCTCGTCACTTCAGTGTATTACAAGAGCTGAACTGTGAAGTTTCACAACTTGCTTTACAGTCATTAAGACACATGTATATACTTAAACACTAGTCAATGGCAGATCTTGATTCTAAGTCTTGCTTCTGAAGCACAATATCAATATATCAACAAGGATTAATCATTACAAAATCAAATATTATTGCAGCTTAAAAATAATTAGAGGACTAGAACTCAATTGTGTTGAAAACAACCAGATATACTGTCAAACAGTTTAGGGTCGAAATGCAAGCAGAAATGACACACCCCACACACATACTAGAACAAGCTCAAACAAACAACGGTTGAATATATGAGTTAACAAAAAGAGTAAGGAGACAATACTATAATCTAAATCTTGCCACCATCAAGAAACCTCTTTTCATTTTTCTTTAACTTGCAGAAGCAAAAGTGTGGCATGGATTACAAGCTCATGCCGGTTTGTGCATTATGCAACATATGTAACACAACCACAGATTATCATGAGCTGAAGCATACACTTCCATCCTAAGGGCTGTATTTTGAATATGAAAATAAAATCACCAACGTCAACCATCTATCATTTTTTTCTTTTAAATATTGGACCCAAATTTTTCTTGTGATGTTCAGTTCCATTAATGTTTCTTGGACATGCATTCTTCATTACACGATCTCCTCAATATTTAATTTAATTCAGTGAGTGACGTATAATTATTCACATATATTTTATGAAAAAAAAAATCATACAAATGGTTATGCATTTGTAATCCCATTTTGTAAAATTTGGCATTATGATCAACAAAGGCTGTAGTAAGTTGATGTTACTTCAAACTTGCTTGTCGCGATTCTCTGATTGGTGGAGATTTGTAGCGCAATATAGTTTTACAGTTGACTGCACTTTGGTATCTATGTAAGTTTATATAATTATGGCCAACTACTGATTACATATATGCCACCTCTAAAAGTCTGTGGAATGCCATTAAAGGGATAGCTCACCCAAAAATGAATATCACCCCATGATTTACTCACTTAAATGGTGGTCAAGATTTTGAAGCAAAATAAAGTGCGTCCATCCATCATGAAATGTGCTCCACACAGCACCAGGGGATAATAAAGTCCTCCTGAAGTGAAGCGATGTGTTTGTGTAAGAAAAATATCCATATTTAAAACTTTATAAACCGTAATCTCTAGCTTCCGCTAACCGTTGTACACGCGTTCACGAGACAGTGGCGTCCCAGTGTATGACGTAGGCATAGCCTAAGCTCCGGTGAGAAGTGACGAATGCAGAAGCGCAGAGGAGAGAGCAAAACAAAACACCAGTCATGAATTTGTTGTACAAAATGAGGATTTGTAAAGAAAAATGTCGGAGGATTTCGATATAAGCCAAAATGAGTTCTCGCGAGACTAGCATATTCTCACCAGAGCTTACACTACACCTACGTCATCTGCTGGGACGCAACTGTCTCGTGAACGCACTTACAACAGTTAGCGGAAGCTAGAGATTACGGTTTATAAAGTTTTAAATATGGATTTTTTTCTTACACAAACGCATCGATTCCATGTGTAGCAATTTTTATGATGGATGGATGCACTTTATTTTGATTCAAAATCTTGATCACCATTCAATGCCATTATAAAGCTTGGAAGAGCCAGGACATTTTTAAAAAATATATATATATATATAATCATGGGGTAATTTAAATTTTTGGGTCAACTATACATTTAAACAATCTGTGTAAATACACCTTTTACAAGAATTTCATAAATAGTATCTCTGATTTGTTAGGTCCTATATTTGTTGCTTAACCAGAAATTATCTCAAGAATTGACAACACTGTTGAGGGAAGTATTTTTACAAATATTTCTTCCTCATAAGTAGTAAAGGAAACGTAATGTAGAAGTAGAATCAGAATCAGAATCAGAATCAGAATCGCAAAGTTGCTTACGATTCGCATCCCCATTTTCACAGAGAGGGGTCTAACTAGCATTTTTTTTTTTTTAAATACAAAAAATAATAATTCTTATTAATAATTCTTTTTTGTATGTTTACTGTGCAATTGTCTTGGGTTCTTCTTCATTGTGTTGGAATATATACAGTATATGGTGTATTTTATGTTTCTGTAGTTATTTACTCATCCCAAATTGTTCCAAACCCAAAATATTTTTTCCCCCATATGAAACGCAAAAGAAGCTTAATCCTCTCATAGTTGTTCATACAACCATAGATCATGGTGACCATGTCTGTTAGTCTTTAAAGTCACCATGAAATCAAAATGGACAATTCTTATTTTTAGGGCCTGTGCACCCTATTCTTCTTCTTCTTCTCCAAAGTGAATTGCATTTTTGAGAGCCTAAACATGCACCAAAACTCACAAAACTGGTGAAAATTTGAAATCTAATATGGATTTCAGAATTGGGTGTGGCAAAATGGCTCGACAGCAACACCTATAAAATTTCAACGAAGCGCCCCTCCCGCTATGCTTCACCTATGTGAAATTTGCTACATGAATGTAATGTCCCAATACCTATAAAAAAGTATCTTGGAGCAAAAAGTCCTAAACGCAACAGGAAGTCAGCCATTTTGAATTTCCTCTACGATTTTTTTGCCATTTCCTACAGTTTTAATCCGATCATCTTCAAATTTGGTGGTGAGGCCTTTGCGATGCTAAATTGCGAAGATCTTGAGTTTTCGTTGAAGGGCGTGTCCCTGGTGGCCTGACAAATTTTAATGTTTCGCCATGAAACAGGACGTTGCTGTAACTCAGGCATACAATGTCTGATCTACCCCAAACTTCACATATTTGATAAGAGTCCTGTCCTGAACACATGCCCATCCTCAGTTGTAGTCAAAGCGCCACCTGCTGCCAACAGGAAGTGGCATGTTTTACGCTGTAACGAACTCCTCCTAGAGATTTAATGACATCATTATATTTGGTCAGTCTAATCTAAAGGTCTTTGCGATGTTAAATTGCGAAGATCTTGAGTTTTTGTTAAAGGGCGTGTCCGTGGCAGCCTGACAAAGTTCGATGTTTCACTATGGAAAATGACGCTGTTGTAACGCAGCCATACAATGTCCGATCTGCCCCAAAATTCAAACGTTTGATAAGACTCCTGACCTGAAGAGATCTACATGCCCATTTTCACTTATAGTCATAGCGCCACCTGCTGGCAACAGGAAATGACTGAAACTGAAATATGTTGAAATATGCAATGTCCAATCTGCACCAAACTTCACATGTTTGAAAAAAAGTCCTGGCCTGAAGACATCTACATGCCAATATTCAGTTATAGTCATAGCACCACCAGGAAGTTTGGCACATATAAATGACTTGGACATTCCTCCTATATTTACCACTTTAAATGCATATTGCCCTCCTTTCACTGTTTTTCTGAGGCCACCGGGTGGAGGTGGCTCCGAGGGCCCCTTCAACGCTGCTTGCAGCTTTAATTTTTATGGAATTTCGCAGTGTTAAACTGATTTCTGCACTCACGTCTTGGCAACAGACTGTTGAGGGAAGTATTTCTTACAAACATTTCTTACTCATAAGTAAAACAGGAATCGTTAATAAGCCAGAATCATTATGAAGAAAAAGGAATAATAATCGTTAAGTTCCTTAGGATTCGCATCCCTATTTTTACAGACAGGGATCTAACCAGCAGGTACACTCGGTTATGCTTCATTGGCGTGTATCATATTTGCTCACATACGGTCTTATTAGGCTGCCGATGATGGCCTGAATCTCTCGACCTCTTAGTCATAGTCTGCAGCTCATATCGAGCTGTCAATTCTACACGAAGGCTGTGTGTCAAACCCCAGTGAGCTATCTATCAAGGACGTATTTGTGGAGCATCACTGGCGGGTCTGTTACACCTATAAATGTAGTAAAGGCAGGCTACTCACTATGTTTTGACACACAGCCAACATCCAGCTGCGAGCTCCGATCTGAACGTCACGTATTAATGCTCTCACAAAACCAGCTCAATCTGGCAACATGCAACGCGAGCAGCTATGCGGCTAGCTAGTTATGCAACCATCCCCAACCACACAGATACGACCTGTTAAGCGATTAACTTACAGCAAGCTGGAAATCTCAAACTCACCATTTTGCCCCCGCGAGCGTGAACGACAGCTCCAGGCAGCTAACGCTAACTGACTCGGGCCTAACGGGCCTGAGCGACAAACACACAGCTGACAGCGGTATAGGAGTGCACAACACTCCTTCCCATTATTTGCAGGTGCGCTATATTCTCAAAACACGGTTTTATTTAGCCTTTGCGTCTATAGCGAGCTGCTGGTTGACGGAAACTGATGTTTTCTGTGTTTAGGAACCAGCCGAACCAATCGCGTTACTTTCACTTCTCTACGCACGCCCCGATCACGCGAGGCGGGGCTTAGCACAAGTAGAAAGCCTGTCATTGGCTTATGGAACACTACGGAGGCTGTGATTGGACGGTTCTCCTGTCAATTACGCTGATCGCTGACTGGTGTTGAAATGTGGCGGGCGGCAATAAAAAGTCATGAAGATGTCTCCTAATATGTAAAGACACCCAAAAGAACCCTGATGTGAAGAACATAAGTGTGTTGATGGGTTTTCTAGCCATCTGGTGAGATCAAGTATTTTGTTTTTTTTTAGATGTTTAACGTAGCGTTCTTATTATCTCTTTTTTTATCAACACTGTTGTCGATTGTGTTCTTAAACTCTGTCTAGGGAGTCATGGTGATCTTGAGAGAAGGGATCTGCCCTGGAGTAAACGAGGAATTCATTAAGGCTTTACAGTCAGAGGATATCAAAACAGGTGTTGTTGACAATGATCATAACACTCATAGCAACATGTAGTTTCAGTTCATTTCATCCTTACTAAACTAACAAGATGTACTATAGTAGCTTTTAGGAGGTTAAACCATCTACCACTGTAATATCTTACTCAAAATGTAAAATAATAATAATAAAACTCACTAATGATTCTAACTTTAATATTAGATTTATTTACTGTGTAATTATCGGGTTCTTCTTTATTGTGTTGGAATATACTGTATATCTGTACACTGTATTTTATGTTTCTGTAGTTATTTAACGTTACTCATTGTTACAAAACCCAAACTATTTTTTTTCCACATTAAACGTAAAATACGGTTTTTTCTTCTCATAGCTGTTCATACAACCATAGATCATGGTGACCATATCTGTCAGTCTTTAAAGTCACCATGAAATCAAAATGGACAATTCTATTTTTTTTTGCATGGAATTTTACAGTGTTACATGATTTCTCTAGGCACATCTCTTTTTTTTTTTCTTTACTATTCATTTACCCTTATAATTATAACGATAAAGTGGACAAAATGACTGGAGAAGTATGTGATACAGTACACAACTAGAGAGAAATCTGTTGTTTTTACTGAAAGATTTAGTTTATCATGTTGATAAAGAATTAGAGGGTTAAAAATGAGCATGCACATATATATAGTTCACAATAAGATCAATAACATGCATTAAAAATAGATAGAATTAATTGTTCATTTCATGTTGCCTTAAAAATGACTAAATAAACCCATACAAGCACCATTAAAGAAATCCATATGAAGTAAGATATATTCTGAGTCTTCTAGAGCCATATGATAGCTTTGATAATGAAATTCATGCCAGAAACATGTCAAACTACCCGTGTTATTTTGGCTTCAACTGCTTCGGGGGGTATTCTTGAAATTAATTTGTGGTCTGTTCCTCACAAAAAATATTTGACTTGAGTTTGTCAGACTATGAACTATAAATTGTTGTATGGAAATGAGCTGAGTGAAGATTCTGCGAAAGTTCTCGTGTGTTCCAACAAAAAAATAACAGCGGGGTTTGGAACGGCATGAATGAATAATGAGAGGACTATTCACTGAAGTACTGTTGCTGCTCAAGCACTATTGTCCCTTGTAGGAATTAAAGTTTTCTTTACTCCATAACTGCCTGTGCCCTTGTAATAATACGTTTAATTCTTTCAGTTGAGGACTTTGTCTCATGTAACCCAGAAGAACTTGCACAAAAGTGTTCGTTGTCTTACAAGGTATGTGGGAATGACTTCGTTTTTAGTGTGACAGTTTTCTTACCTCAGCTAACGCCTATTCAGGCCTCACCTTTATTTACCTCTATCCATCACAGGTACAGTGTAACTAAACTAAACAAAGTTAACTAACTAAAAACTGTCCATGTTGTATTTTAGGCTCTAGTAGCTGTTCGGCGTGTGCTCTTGGCTCAGTACACAGCTTTTCCCGTCTCTGGAGCTGATCTCTATGAGGAGCTCTTGAGCTCCACAGCAATATTGTCCACCGGCAATCCCAGGTCCCACACATATATGTGGAGGATTCATAATATAATATAATTCAATATAACATAATATAGAATAGTTTGGGGTCAGTATATATGTTTTGAAAGTAATTAATACTTTTATTTAGCAAGTAAACATTAAATTTATCAAAAGTGACAGTAAATAAATGTATGATGTTACAAAATATTTCTATTTAAAATAAATGCTGTTCTGTGGAACTTTAAATTTATCCCGAAAATGTTTCAAAAATTCAAAATCCTGGAAAAAAAACACAAAAAAAACACGGTTTCCAGAAAATAATTAAGTAGCTCATTTAGTTTTTTTTAAACATTGATGGTAAGAAATGTTTCTTGAGCACCAAATCAGCATATTAGAATGATTTCTGAAGGATCATGTGACACTGAAGACTGGAGCAATGATGCTGAAAATTCAGCTTTGCCTTTACATTAAAATAACATTTTAAAATGCATTAAAATATAAAACAGTTGCTTTTAACGAATATTACCGGTTTTACTGTACTTGTGATCAAATAAATGCAGCAAACTTGAGTTATTTAAAAATCTTACTGATCCCAAAATTTTGAACGGTAGTGCATATGTATGGATTTTGTATTAAGGCTCTGTGAAAAACTGTGCTGTTTTGTCTTCAGTTTGGATAAGCTGTTGGATTCCGGGCTGTACACAGGGGAAATAACTGAACTGGCAGGAAGTCCAGGGAGCGGGAAAACACAGGTGATCTGTTGTCCTGAAAACTCTTCTTAGTCTCTTGGTCCTGTTCTACAATTTCAAAATCCAGCCTGCTTTTATAACCTATTAGGGTTGGGTGGGCAAATGGGTGAGTGTTCAATAATGCTCTGTGTCTCTCTCAATCACTTTGTAGGTGTGTTTTAGTGTTGCAGTTAATATATCCCACCAGCTGAAGCAGACTGTGTTTTACATTGACACAAAGGGGGGTATGTGTGCAAACCGACTGCTTCAGATGCTACAATCCAAGACCCCTAATATGGAGGAGCAGGTGATTAAAGTGTAATTTCTTAGTAGTGCTTGCTAAGGCAAGTATCATCATGTTTGTTCAACTATTGCAAATGAACAGCATTTGTGCCAATGTTGATTCCTTTAAACTATATTGTATTGTACCGTACTGTGCTACAGAAGTTATGTCCTTTCCTTTTCAATATACAGATGGAGGCACTTCAAAAAATCAAGGTGTTGAGAGTATTTGATGTCTTCTCTTTGCTCGCATGTCTTCAAAATCTGAGATCGAATGGCCTTCAGAAGGTATGTATTATTCTGTGTAAAGGTCTGTTGATGTAAGTGGTTATTTGTTACAGAACTCTTGAATGTGCCCTAGGCGTCTGTTGGAGGTGGTTCAGTCAAAGCGCTGATGGTGGATTCAGTCTCTGCTGTGCTCTCATCCATGCTCGGAGGGAAACAGAATGAGGGTATTTGTTTACAGTATTGCATAATACTCTATCATAATGTTCTGTTCTAATTAGCATCGTACGCATTAGATGTCACAGTGCTGCTGCTTTGCATCAGGTATGTCCTTGCTGATGCAAGTTGCTGGGGAGCTGAAGATGATCGCCAAAGACTTCAACATTGCTGTACTGGTATGCACCTTTCTGTTTCCTGTTAGGGAAAACCTGGAAATATTACTGAATTTTAAATGGTTGTTTCCAGGCCTGGAAGAGTCTACTGAATATATATTGCTAGTTTTTTTTTTTTTTTTTTTAAATATATATTTAATCACTTTAAGGTTGCTCTTTGCGAATGAGAATAAAATGATTTTTGAAGTTGACATCAAATTTTGTACATGCACATTATAGATCTTAGTGAGATCTTATAGTACAATTCATCCATCTAGATGTTTCTTTTGTCATTTTGTAAAATGACAGACTTCTCCAAATTATTTAGAATTATTATTCTAATTATTCTAATTATTATTATTTGGAATTATCCAAATTCTTACAATTGGCTGCAAGTTTGCATTCAGCTGATTTTCCTCCATCAACAACCGTTTGATAGAAGTCGCCGCCCTGCATTTTTTTCTTTTTCGATAATCCATTTGATTTGGATGTCACAATATGGAAGATGCTACACCTGTTCCATCACAACTTGGAAAATCCTGACAGTAATTACAAATGACTGGAAAAGTGATGTAAATTCACTGGTCTTGCTTGTTGCATGTTTCTCACAGTGACTGTCCTTTGTAATAAAAACTGATATGGTGAAATCTTGCATTGAAGGTAACAAACCATGTGACCAAAGATGGAAATGGGCATTTGAAGGCTGGACTAGGACAGTCATGGAGTCATGGGCCGCGCACTCGTGTGCTCCTGCAGAGAATAGAGGGTGCAGGGACTTCATCCTTACGAACCGCAACTCTGACCAAATCATCACGACAGGTGGTTTTAGGCAAAATTGTCTTGATTTTCAAGAATAACCCAATAGAGTCTTTACTTAGAGGATACGCATGGAACATTACTTCTACTTACTGATGTTTTTTTTCTATCATCAGGCTTGTCATCTGGTAGAGGGGTTTGATCTTTGTCACTGGTCTGAAGAGAGGAGAACCTCTATTTCAGGCAAGAGGAAACTAGAGGAAAGAAGTAAACCCTGACAACAAAATTCAGTGACAATAAGAATTGCTGTCCTTCTTTTGATTTCAGACAGACTATATAGGAGGTATATTTAGAGTCAGTGTAAATATGTATATTATTTCTACAAAATGTTTCCGTTGTGGTCTTTGACAAGTGATAAGTTCTTTTTTTAATTAACTTTTGTAAATGTCCTGTTTAATGAAGTCAAAAAGAACTTGCATTCTTTTTTTTTTTTGTTAAAAACTGCATAGTTGCCATCTTTTTATTTTCTAAATCAAACTGGGAAATGATTATCTCTTAAAAATAGATTTGTTTTCCTCAGTACCAACAGTAAAAATGAACCCCACTAACCATTTTCAATGGAAAAACAAAATACTTTTTGCATTATTCTGCATCTCACCTCTGTGTGTCAGTATAACTCCAAAAATGACTGAGTGCACCTTCCGGATTAGACAAGGAGAACAAATCCAATGCTTAAAATTGTCCTCATGTTATACAGACACTCACACAATCACTCCCCCATTGCACGCTAGACCGACTCTATTCAGGCACGAATCAATTTCTTTGTTCATAAAAGGCTTGTTTTAATTAGAATGATTGTAACAGTTGAAATTACACACAACTACCATTACCAGCTACCATTATTACTACCAGCTAGAGGGCTCTTACCCAATTTACTCTACACAATTATTCATTCCACAATCATGCCTTATGGCTGTTACTATTGTATTGTTAATCAATCGTCCTGTGCCCAAGAGCGTACTCCATACAAACATCCTTTTCAAAACAGATAAATGACACTATCACGATGAAGTCATCAAAATCATTACATGTATTGAGCTCTTTCAAGAATATGCTTATGAAATGAGTGGCAGCACTAGTCAATGACACCGAAAACAGTTTAAAAATTATAAATATGCAAATTCATAGAGAAAAATAATATCAAAACCAACTTGAAAAGCTATTAAACTGACTGTTTTCTAGTACAATGTGTGTAATACCACAATGTGGTAAAGCGAACAAAAACATGAGTTTGTGACACCTTTTAAAAAATGTTTATTCAACTCTGTCATGAACGACAGCATTAATGCTGTAGCTGCAGGTCTGATGAAATAGGTTTAATGTTCTGTAATGAACAATGTCATTATAGGACAAAATGCCTGAGCTTAGTGGTAGTGTCCTTCCTGCAGTCTCTCTACCTCATTCAGCTTGGAGGAACCACCCTCCTCTTTCGGATGCATTCCCAGATCCAGTTAGAGGTGACCCTCTGAGCCGGACTGTCGTCCTCTGGCTCTCCCAGTGTATGTGTGGCTGAAACGGAGTCATACTCATGCACCAGATCTCCATCGTAAGCTAGGAAGTAGCGCCGAAGCTGCTCAAAGTCCTGCACTGACTCTGGGAGGTAGAGCTTCACACCTGTGAAAATGTCCAGTAGTGTCTGCAGGAAGATGGCAAGGGTTTTAGTGGTGAAGTATCATATCAGCAAAATTATACCCTTTAGCTTTAAAAGGAACAGTTCACCCAAGAATGAATATTCCGTCATAATTTACTCAACCCCTCACTTTGTATTTTTATGCAGATACTTTGAAAAATGTATTTTCTTTTTTTTTAGTCAGTGAGGTCCAGTGCTCATAACTTCTGTTTGGAACCTACTGACTCATTTTATAGACAAAAACAGTTTAGACTTTATGTAGAATATCTTCTTTTGAAAGCAAGTCACACAGGTTTGGAACGACAAGAGTAAATAATGTTAATGATGACAGTCTTTTATTATTATTATATTTCGGTGAACTATCCCTTTAAGTACAAAGCAACCAAAAGAGGTAAAAACAAACCTTTTCATTCTTTGTGTCAGTTGTTTGAACGGTCTGCAATTTGCTTTGTCCATTGCTGTAAACAGGTTCGGTTTTTATCTGAAATAGAACAAGATCACAGGATTTGAGGAGAGAAATGATCTAATAATGGATAAATGAACCATGACATGGCATTAAAGACTAAGCCTGTGTTCAAAGAAAACACGCTGGCATTTAAAAGTTTGGGGTCAGCAAGTTAAGCTCAGGTCAGTAAGCAACCAGTACAACTGTTTTCAACATTAATAATAATGAAAAACATTTCTTGCGCATCAAATAATCATATTAAAATGATTTCTGGAGGATCATGTGACACTGAAGACTAGAGTAATGCCTGCTGACAATTAAGCTTTGCTATTACAGGAATAAATTACATTTTAAAATATTGCAATTTAAAATAACTTTTCTATTTTAATATAATCTCTCACAATACTGCTGTTTTACTGCATTTTTTATCAAATAGCCTCAGTGAGCATAAGAGACTTCTTTCAAAAACATGATCTTAAACTTCTGAACCGTAGTGTATACAGTATATGGGTTCATCAAATAACAAACCTTCTTGGCATCTTGTTTCTCTGTGGGTAGTTTCCTCTTAACTGCTGGCGAAGATGATTCGGTTTTCACTGCCTTTGCTTTGGGAGTATGACCGTTTTCTGAACAGTTGGAACAATTACAGAATGTAAGAACTTTTTTTAATGGTACTTTTATGATGCAAGTGTCACATTTGACAACTATAGACCAAACAGGATCTGTTCATGGCGAACGCTTACTGGTCTTGTTAGCTGTGGAAGCTCCATGAGATATAGAGGGAGAGCTTCCTCCACTCTCGCCTCCTGAGGAGCTCTTGTCATTTTGGCTAGTTTTGGACGGACCAGCTGTCACCTCAAAATCACAGTTCTCCTTTGAAATACGATACAGCTCCTGCAAAAACAAACAAATTAATAATAATAAAAAAAGATTCCAATATTTGATTTACAACACAACCTAATAGTTTGCATAAAAAAAAATAAAACATTTATAAGAAAGATAATTTAAAGTTGCAATTACACAGAAGTAGCAACAGCTATTCTTTCATATAGCAACTTACATCCAAGTGTGATTATTAAAAT